ATTGAAACCACCTCTAACTATTGTTCTCAATATAAATAACTAATTTAGTTGACTGCATTATTATTTGAGGCTACAAAGTTGTCTGATCGCATTAATAGTAAATAGCCAGTCTGATTGGATAGTTTAAATTTATCCCTACTGGGCAACAGCAAAAAACAGACACCAAAGTCAAATGACCTTGTGAACCAACTAATCAGATCGCCCAGCATGACAAATGGATGCTTTTCATAATCTTCGTTGCAAGTTTCGCTTTAACCTTAAACCTGCCCTAACCGTAACCCTAAATCAGAATGAAACTTGCAACTAAGATCATTCAAAAGTATCTATTTGTAATGCCGAGCAATCTGATTGGTTGACTCAAGGTCGTCTGACTTTTTGTGTCTATTCTTTCCTGTTGTCTCCATACACACACACACACACACACTTGGTTTTTAGTTAATCTTAATCTGCTTAGGCTGATTTTAGTCTGGTTTTGGTCAACTGGTTTTCAGACTAGGCAAAATAAAGGAGGAGGGTATCTCTGACAGCCTTGACGATGTTTTTTTATAAAATTTTTTACTAAAAAAGAGGAACACAATGACTAATACAAAGAAAGGGTTGTTTACCTAATAGAGTAGTACGTACTAACTTCCTATTACGAATTCCTATACTCGCATAAATTTTTGTGTGTGATTACGGTGAATAGTTTACAAGTTAATTGAATTTGAGATTTTCCCGTCGATTGATTGGACCGAAGTGCAGGTACATCCAGATGACGAGTCCCAAACATAAGAAGATATAGACAATCGGGATTTTTAGACCAAGTGTGATTAATTAGTGATACATATCCATTTTTTAATTATTGATCAGGATTTGCCATGCATCAGCTAACAAGATCACATCTTCACGTCTATTCAGTGTTGGGATTCACCCATATATGTGTAGGTGTTTTGCAGTCAGTTTTTCTTTATAAGAAATAAAACCTTTCCGTAGAACCTTAGTCCTATCAAAATCGATCTTGTGGCCGGTTTCTTTCGACCGTATTACAGTCACCGATCTGGTTTCTGGCTTCTTCAAGTCTGCAGAGGTCTTTACAACCACCTTTAGACATTGTTTATACTCTTTCACTCTTATATTTACCTGTCTGGAAGTTTCTCCTACACAATCCCCACAATTGATCTGGTACATACAATTGTGTTGGTTTTCATCTTGTATTTTATCCTTAACCTTCACCAGTGATGAGCGTCAGCTGTTAGTTTGCACGAAAATACACTCTTATGTCATAATTGTTAAGGATTCGCTTTATTATTTCATCAGATGTTTCTTTGCGGTAAGGAATCACCACTGTACTAACCTATCCTTATCTTGACATTTTAAATATCTTTTTATGAAGGCTTTAGGATAATTATTTGATTCAACAGTGGATTGAACCAATTTTAGTTCCCTGCTGTTGTCTTCCTCCTCAGTAACTAGATGTTTGACTCTGTTAATCAGATTCTTGACCACAGTTACTTTTGTGGTAAAGGGATGTACTGAATATTGGGCCATTGAATCGTGTCTCACTGGCTGAATGATATACAAGCTTGTCTTATAACCGGAAGGTCCTGTGTTCGAACCCCAGTGAATGCGTCCTGCCGATGATTCCCAAAAAACAAGGATGAAACAGCTGTCCAGTTCTCCTTGGTGGTTTTCAGTGGTTTTCTTTTTTTTTCCTTCACGTTCCCAGTGGAACATAGGGCTTCAAGCTAGAGGCTTGAGGTTTCTGTAGCAGTGTTTCTTTTACACGATGGGGTCCAGCCTTTCCTCTTTACCAGTCTTATCACTGGCTTAGCGAGGTATAGGAGTGCGTCGGCCGGGGATCGAGCCGCGGACCATGTGCCTGGTCGGCGAGCGTCCTAACCGCTGTGCCACCGACGCACAATGGTTTTCCAACTGATATCAATCCGTGATCAACTCGTAAAAATAATAAGTAGGTTATATTTATTATTGCTATAAGGTGGTGGTGGCAGGCGAAAAACAAAAGTTCTATCCACTGAGGCTTTCTTTGATGAGAACAGTCTCATTGACCCCGACCAGGTTGTTATCACAGCACACTAGACTTCTTGTTGTTTTATACTATCAGAATCACACAAATTTCTTGCTTCGTTTATCTACAGGAGTAAAAATTGAATAAAAATCAGTAAAAGTTCAACAGACATGCGTGAAAAACAGAAAGGAAGATAAAGTACATTCGGAAATATTATTATTATTATCAATAAAATGCAATCAGATGGGAAATAAGATGTTTTTATAGTAAAATGAATAAATAACTTGTTAGAGTGTTATAATGTGAAGTGAAATACATTTTAACATGATTTATTATCCTCTGATTCGACTAGTAGAAATATCTTCCATATCTCTGATATTCGCGTTGGGTGTAGACTTGATGAACAAGGATTCAGTAATCAATCTGTCTCTCCACCTACCTACCTTACTTCTTAGAATTTCAACCCTCTCCCACCATATTGTGTGGTTATGTGTTAGTGCATGCATGCAGTGCAATTGCTGAGCTTTTTTCTAAATTAATTATTTTCGTGAGATCACTCATTCTAACCTTAGCCACTAAATTCTTATGTTCTGATAATCTCACTACTCCCGATCTACTAGTTTGACTCACCTATGTAGTTAACCTAGTTCACAGTCACTGCAAAGTATTTTGTAAATTATATTATTTTTCAGACATCTATAAAACAGAAAATAATTGAGCAAAAAACATCCTTTTCGATAAATTCCTCTTCTGGCTCTACAATTATATATATGTTTATATACATAGGATATTCTAGATTAGTAGTCAATAACAATGTTAGCGTTTTTTAAATAATATCGATTTGTAAATTAGGATGAATGGAATTACAGTTCATTAAAGATGCCTAAATAATAATAATAATAAGATATAATAGCGAATAGAATATCAACTAAAATTAGGAAAATCCCACCAAAATTGAGGATCATTCAAACGTAGATGGCCAAGGTAAGGATAATATCTGAACTAGCTTCTTTTGGATGCACAAATTAGGCTTGTTAATATGGATCCCAACAGCCTCAGAGTTGCGGTAAAAAGAGCATTCTCTGCTGCCGAATTACGCTGTGTCTTCAAAACCACTCCTGTTTTGCGTTCGGGAGTAAAAGACAAACTGCCTAATTTTGCCTCTTCCATGTGTATCTACCAATTTAACTGCTCCTGTGGAGCCAGTTAGTTGCATAGGCCGTTCAATTAGGCGTGTTTCTCGTCGAATTTCCGAACATCACCCTGTGTGGTTAAGTAAAGGACAAACAAAATCTATTCACAGTGATATTCTATCTCATCTTGTGGATACAGAACACAGGATTGACGTTAACCATGCTTTCAGGGTCATTTACCGCATACCAACAAATCTTAACTTCGCCTTCTTAAGAATTCGTTTACTAAATATTGCTGAGACTGGCTGTTGGAATCCACATTAAGAAGCCTAATTTATGTGTCCAAAAGAAGCTAGTTCAGACATTGTCCTTACTCCACTGGCCATCTAGATTCGAATGATCCTCAATTTAGGTGGGATTTTCCTAATTTTAGTTGATATTCTATTTGCTGTTATATCTTTATTATTATTATTATTATTATTATAATTTAAGCATCTTTAATGAACTGTAATTGCATTGATCATACTTTACAAATCGATATTATTTAAAAAACACTAATATTGTTATTGACTACTATTCTAGAATATTCTACGTATATAAACATATATATAATTGTAGAGCCAGAAGAGGAAATATCGAAAAGGATATTCTTTGCTCAATTATTTTGTGTTTTATATTATTTTGTTTAATTGGGTCTACCGCGTCCTTTAACCTACAGAGCTTGTCCCTGCCTAAGTGAGTTTGTAGATTTGAATGCCCTACCCTAATTCCTGCTTTATTCATAAATTTTATCCATAATGGAATAGAACTTTCGTGTGTGAGTAGCACAGATGTACCTTATTGGCTGTAGTGTAGTACTTGACTTTCAGCCACCTAGTGGCCGTGGTTTCGAAACCTGCTTGACCTACTTCATCAACCTGGTCAAATGTGTAGAGTAGCATCAGCCCTTCTTCGATAAGTATGACTGACACATGGAGAATGTGTTTCAGCTGTGATGAATATTTATCATATCCTCATGTATATTATCATTTAGAGCAGTTTACTATCTCTATTGACAGGATATTTACAGTCTTCTATCTCTGTTTACGTAATCTGCTTTTGAAGAAAAAAAAATAGACGTGGGAAATGCCAGTTCCATTCTGTTCTACATTGATTGTACAGTATTGATCTAAGCATAAACGTATATAGTCTATTGAGTGTTGAAGTTTCTGTAGCAGGGTTGATTGGTTTTGTGGGGTACGGTCGCTAGCCCCACGGCCAACCCCTTCCTCTTCACCGGCTAGAAAACTAGCGAACTAGTAAACTTCGCTCCACAATGAAGATCAAATGGCGGGCCAGAAAGAATTAACCACAAGAAACTCTGACTGGGAACAATCCAACAAGGAGATCCGATCGCTCAACAAATATGTAGGAGAAAATGCAGATGGAATATACATACGCTATTGAGGAAGCCGTCAAATGACATCGCGCGCAATACAAGCCATTGCTCGAGTGAAATCTCAATGGGAAGCGACGAGTGGGTCGTCAGTGCTAGGGTGACATGGAGGAGATCGTGTGTTGAGGAGGAGGAGATGAGAGATTCTGGGCGGTGGTGGGGTCAGCCAGCTGAAGAGGACAGCAGAAAATAGAACAAGTTGGAGGTGTGTTGTTGAAGCCCTATATTCCACTCGGAATGCACGGGAATAATCTTCCTTGTAAGTATTTTGCTGAATTTCGTTTCATAAAGTTCTTAAAACCCCTATTTTTATACACTGTACCATTTGAACAATGTATGCAATGATCACATACATTACATGTAGTTGAAATAATATAATAATACCTACCGTAAAGATGTTTTTTCCTCCCTCCTTGTCTGTTTACAGGTTGGCAATGGCATCCTGAACAACGTCCACCATTCTCTGATATCTTAAATCAACTAGAATCAATGAGTACTAATTCATCGATTGAAGAACAAATCGCCATGGAATTCGCTGCTTCATCAGCATCGAACACCAACGAGACAACCGGCGGCATAAATTCAAATGATGCCTACAAATTACTTAGACGTCCGCATAATATATTCCCACGTCCACCTCTACCGCCTAGACCGCCACCACAGAGAAGAAGTACTAGTTGTGATTATTTAGTTGATGAGAATGCAGAAAGTCAAAGTGATAGAATTAAAGGTAAGCGCATCAAATGCGTTTTGTTTAAAAATAATCACATCTAAATTCCATATTAGTTTGTTTATTAGATGTATCACACAGTGATGAAACAGTATTATTTACTGGATGACAAAGTTTCGAACAAAATTTATTGTTCATAATCATGCCATCAATTATAATCACACGACTTTGAAACTTGAGTTTTATAGTTTTCTTTGTTCTCTCCTATTTGTCGTCGTTGGGGTAGTAGAATTTTCCAGATGTCCGACTGGACAGGTGTTGAATCATTCCTGTTACATGTATTTGCAGTTGATTCGATAAACAAAGCTTCTGTTATCAATCTCTCCCTCCACCCTGTTAGGCATTAGATTTTAAAACTGTCATCCTATCCCATCCTATTGTATGGTTGTGTGTAATTGCATGTAGTGAGTGCTATAGCTGAACTATTCTCTAGATTTCTTATCTTATTCAGGTCAACTAATCTAGATTTTGCTAGGTTTTTGTGTTCGGCTAGTCTGACTGCCCCTGTTCTACTAATTTGATCTATGTATTTGACCTGACAATCATTGTAGGCAGGGTATTAGATAAACTAAATTTTTTGTCTTAAAGGTTCCACAGGATCCTTTAACCCATAAGGCATGTTTCCAATTGAGTTTGTGGGTTTGAATGCCAGCCATTTTTATTCCTGCCTTGTTAAGAATTCTGCGTAAGGTTTCCGAGGTTCCTTCCTTGTATGGAATTACTACTGGTGATTTAGATTCCTTATTGTTGGTGTCGTCATTAATATTATTATTATTATCATCACTATCGCTACTATCATTATTTATTTTATTTTTACATTTCTTTACATATTTCTTGACTAATTTATCCGGGTTCCATTTCTGACCGATCCACTCTTAAACATCACAAGCTTCCTAGCTGTGGATAGTAAACCCGAAGAAGACGGAAGGTTGGGCGTGGGAGTGTCAGCCCCATTCCCTTAAAAATAACACCTCTACTTCTACTGCAACTTGAGAGCTTGGTGAAGTCGTGTGTTCCACTTGGAACTCAGAGAAGTGAATGGAAGTTTTGCTCCAACAGTTTTACAAAAACTCTGGGAGTTGAGTAGGAAGGTAGACATGTAAAATAAGGCGCGTTTGTTAAATTCTCAACGATATCGAAACAAGGCATTTCAAGCCTTCTTTCGGTAAACTTATTCACACTTATCTGGAAATAGGGCCCACCAATTATCATTGCTCAAGTGAAAGACAAGCTACCTAGCTGTGCCACTTCTATGTGTATCTACAAATTTAGTTGCTCCTGTGGAGAGACCTATTATATAGGGCGAAGAACTAGATAGCTTAACAAACGTATTAATGAGCATCTTCCTTCATGGTTCGGAAAAGGCCAAATAAAATATATAAGTTCTATTTTGACTCGATTGATGGTAGTGGTCACCAAGTGGACAGAAATAGTGTCTTCAAAGTTGTCTATCACATTCCATCGAGCCTTTCGAACGGAATTCGATCCCACCTTTTACACACAACCGATGCTATGGGAATTAATTCGAGAGAACAATCCCAATGTCTTTGTATACAAAAGAGGTTTGTTCTAACTTTGTCTCTCCCTTGGCCTAGGTAAGCTGTAATCAAAAACCCTCCCACCCTTTCTTATTTTCCATTTCCTTCGTACTTTTTTGATATTTATTTAAGCTTTGATTATTTGTCAACTTCACCTTTAGTATAACGTAACTTTTAAGATTTGACCTAATTTGTTTATTGATTTGTCTACATATACACGTATTATTACCATCGTTATTCCTATCGCCATATGCATAAACCTTATTATCATTATTTTGTTATCATTATAATCATCGTTATTAACTACGTTCAAAACATTTACCACATTATTATTATTATTATTATTTGGGCTGACATCAGTTAGAGAACTATTGGAAAACCTGGGAGTACTAGACAGTCATCTGTTTCGTCGGCCTATTTTAGGACTCTTCATCAGTAAGCAGAGGGGTTCACCGAGTCAGCCAAGGGAGATAGTCACTTACCCATGACGTAGGCAGGTGGTTGCGTTAAATACATCAAGAATTGGAAGAAGTTGAAATTCACAGAACACTGGGTTAGGTCTCAATGACTTAATGGTCTACGAGCTCGCCTGGTAACCAGAAAGTCCTGGATTCGAACCCTGTTGGTAGATGCGTATGACTGAAGAGTCCCAAACTAGGTAAACGGAACAGCTGGCTGTGCAGTAGTCCCTGCAGGTTTTCCAGTGGTTCTCTAACTGATGTCATCTCGTCTTTGATCCGGTAACCGATCAAATCCGTGCAGGCCAACACTTGACAATATATATGTATGTATATATCCTTGGTGATTTTAATTCTGTTAATAGTTGGAACCAGTTGGATTTAAAATATCACTTTGCATTTCAACAGATATACCTTTTTATATAATCATATTTGGATTTTGTTTTCTAAACGGATTTAGTTTTTTCTCTCAGTTATCTCGTACAAAATGGATACATTGTTGTTATTTTTACTTATTTATTTTTTTAAAACAGTTTTTACAAAATTAGTGTAGTTAATTAACACCTGATAGTATGTTATGTTGGCTGACAAATTATTCCTTCGATTATCCACAGTTTTATTTTTTGTGTATAGAGTGAGGTTTACTTTAAAAAAATTGGTCATACAGTAGCTGCAGTAGTAGTCGTAGTTTAATGGATCATTAGGTTTTCACCATTAACTGTACTAATGGACTTAAGCCTTACTGACAACTTCAGCCACTAAGGGATTGACCTGTTACCACCAGGGAATAATCTCTTTGGCTTGGAATATGTAGATGATATAGTCCTCCCTTCTAGGTGAGAACGCTGACAAAATTGAGCAGAGTTTTCTGAACACCTTCAGGGGCAGAAATCTTCGATTTTTTGGCATGTGAGCGATTCGCTCCTGCTGTCAAATGTAAGATGATGGTTGCTACAGAACTGGACTGGACTACACTGACTGCTATCTTAAAGATAGGGTGGTGGTGAATTGGTTAGGGGAGCGTGGTGACCACTTCACTTATTTCGGAAGTTGCATCAGCCACTTTCATCAGAGGGTTGATCGCTGACGAAATCTCAACAGGGATACAGAAGGCTCGTTCGGCACATACCAACTTACGCCATCTCTGGTTTAGTAGACTTGATATCCGACTGGTTGGCTATCGAGCAAAGGGCGTGTTTGCTGCTCAGCACCAATTCTCTCCGTCTTCCGTTATGACTGTGACTTAGAAATGCCCATTGGAAGTGGAGGAAGACATGAAAAGCCTGGCTGGCTGGCTAGCTGTCTTTGATCATAGGTGCTTGCGTTCTATCTCCCGTGTGTGTTAGGTGGTAGTATAATAGGGTGAGTAATATTGAGGTTAGTCATCGATGGTCGAGTGGTAGGTAGGTGGGAGGAGAAGTCAATCGACGAGGTGGTTGTGAAGCTACTACATCGATTGAGAGAGATGGTTAGGAGATGTGTTACGCATGCATGCCTATCCATCCATCGCCTTCCTCGACCGATGGGTAATGTTAGCTGAGTGACATAGGATGGATGAGGTTTGAAAAGAGCTGGTACACATTGTGGTTAAACCGAAACATGGCTTCATGAGTCAGTGAAATCCATAACAGTTAGTTTAAGCCAGCCAATCACGTAGGAGTTGTAGACTGCCTGACTGGCTGGTTGGGGTCATCGGGATGGTAAGTACCAGTGGTTGCTGAAGATAACTGGTGATATGGCTAAGTCGGTCTCAACAGCGCTGATGTATACACTTTTTGTGGTTTATCATGTCGAATCAAACTCTATTGTTCTTCAAATTGCTATTCTTTTTCCTGGTTGGTTTGCAGCACTACCAGATTTCCTCGTTGCTAATTTTCTCTGACTGGCCGGCCATTTGATCTTCAGCATTGAGACAGGGAAGGCAGCTGTTGGACGAGTTGCAGGTGATGATCAATTCAGGAATCCTTATAAGTTATCGGCCCATTGTTTTATTCGTCTCTCTTCCTTGCTAATTAGGTTCCTTTCATTAGTTTCATCTGTGTTGATCTCTTCCAGGATAGATAGCAGTTGCCATATTTACTTTACAGCCAACTCTATCTAAGGCGTTTTTATAATCGACGAAGTTGATGTACGTACAGCTTTGACTACTAGTGTACACTGTTTTCGATGGTTGTGTGTCCTGTTGCGCGCAAAATTTTGTGAACATAGTTTAGGAATCATCGGCAGTACACACTAGGATGAAACAGCTGTCCAGTACTCCCTGTATGGTTTTCAATGGTTCTCTAACTGATATAAATCCGTGATCAACTCGTAAAAACAAAACTAATCCTTACAAACCAAACTCTTGAAAATTAATCTGATGCTCACCAGTAGTGACTGCCTACATGATGGAGTTTCCTGGAGTTTTAATGAGAAGTCGTGACCAGTGAGAGGTGCATCCAGTCGGGAGTGAGGATGGATGTCCCACCGATGACGAATTGGTAGAGGTTAGAGTTCATGGGCTGGCCATTGAGGAGTCGGGTGGGTCCCAGTGGTGGCTGAATGGTATACGAGCTCGCTCGCCTTGTAACCGGAAGGTCCTGGGTTCGAACATAGTTTAGTAATATTTCATGGGGAAGGAACAATCAAAATGTATCTTGTATCTTTCATTACATTGTCTTTCGTATTATTATTTCTTTCTTTTTCATTATTTCAGATGACAGTAAATCTGATATAGGCATTGATGGAGCATTTCATAAAAATAGTATTAATAATAACAACGGCAACAGTAATCATAAGTTGTTGCATGGAAGTATATTTACTAAAAATTTAAAAAATCCATTATCCTCAAAACAATTACACATTGATGATTTAAGCACAGAAGATTTTTGTTCAACTGACAAAGACTTGTCATTTACAACATCCGGATCACTTGGACGTAAAAGAACTGCTCCTCGACCACCAAGACGGACAACACCAGTGAAACCGTTAAATTTTCTTACAGATGAAAATGCTACTGCCTCACCTCTTTTTCCTATCAATCATTGGGATGATTATACTAAGAGTGATTTTGATCATAATACACCGCCTCTTCCACCTCCACCTGAGCCTATTCATCCACCCCCACCACCGTCATCATCCTCGTCATCATCCTCCAATCAACAGTCATGCTTAAATCAATCACAACAATATCCACGTGTCACCACTATTAATAATTCATCGAACAATTTGACAATGCCATCAATTATGAGCACTTCAGGTAGGAGTTCTTTTATGGATAATTTTTATTATTATTTTTTAAAATTTTGATTATAGCTTGATTCCACACCGTATTTTCAGCATGTGATATCGGTAGCCCAAATTTTGCAGGCCAACCATTCATTGATATCAGGTGTGCGTCGGTAGGGGATTGAACCCCGTACCATGTGCGCATGGTCGGCGAGAGTCCTAACCGCTGTGCCACCGACGCACAGTAATAATAGGCTTCATGGTTTTTTTTTCAATATAGTTTGTTATATTTGAATATTTTATTAGAGCCTCTACCTCTTGCGATGTATCGGTCACAGAAAGCTGCGGTGTTAGTATATGGTGTCATATAGAGTAGTTAACGTTGTTGTTTGAGTTCAGCTATCATCATCAAAATTTAAAAATAGAAAATTGTTAAGCAAAATGAAAGAAGTGACAGGTAACTGTCCCTCTGTGTCTTCGTGCTTTATCTGAGGATGTAACTGTATTAGAATACTGGTAAAGTTAAACTATTAGAAGTTAATTGGTGGATGGTGACTAGCAGTGGAATCCAGGATACGCATTTCGTCCTCTTTGGGACTCGCCATCCGGATGTATCTGCATTCTGCAGTGAGTGATGATGTTCCCACCGAGGCTCGAACCCAGTTCCCAAGTGGTTTAGTGGATAACGCTTTGGCGTCTGAAACTATGGGCACTGGGTTCGAGCTTCGGTGGGAACATCATCACTCACTGTGGAATGCAGGTACGTCCAGATGACGAGTTCAGAATAGGATGAAATGCGCGTTATACTGGATGATTCCACTGCTAGTCACTATCCACCAATCAAATTCTGATTACATGCCCGGGCATCGTCAAAGCATCTGCACAAGAAGCCGACATGTCAACCTGAAACTGAGCACTTCGGTCCAATCAGTTAGTCGACGGGAAAATCTAAAATTGAATTAAAAGTTAAACTATCATCGCCAAAGCCATAGTGATCTTTGACAACCAATCAGAATTTACATGCAGTAAAACTCTAGCATAATCGTTAAAAAATGCACTACAAAACACTGCAAACATGACATAACAACACTATGTAGTTGGGGAGTATGTGTTTCTCTCAGTTACTACACAAATGGTCTATAGAAAAATCATAGCATGAGCGATATATATATCCATTCATCCAGGTGACTGTAGGTCATAATGCTTTGACATCCATTGATATTTCTCACACTTTTCTTTAACCTACTCCTGACTCTAACCATGGGAATGGAACCTAGCGATTTCACTCGTCCTTCTTTGACAGGGCTCAGTCAGCATCAATATTAAGAACTAATTATACACATGACATTGTTTACTCATACGAATGACCAATCGATGCATTCATTACAGTTTTAGAGAAGGTCAGTTGTCATACGAGATAGCTGTCAGTGTTGGTAACGTCTGTGACTACTGGAACACTGATTTGGATGACGTCGATTGGAATCTCAGAAGAGGCATGAATTCCTTGGAGATAGATAGCAGATACGCGTTGCTGACAGACTGGTGAGTGCCGACAAGCACAAAACCTAGCCTGAGGGCAATTGCCTCCAATCGTCTGATTGTGTTAAACAGACTTTTCCAGATTTTCGATTTGCACATTAATTCGTGATTTGCAGTTGACAGACACACTTCGAGGGGAAATTCCAGATCAGATGACAATATGTGTGATCTCATCTGCTTGATCCTATAAATGTGAAATGTCAAGAAATCAAGCATAGATGCATGATGCTGTGTACTACTACTGTGATTGATCGACATGAGTAACTGGACACCATTCACACTAAGTGATCTAAACATCAGACTGCTGCCTCAGTCGTCAGTGGTGTAGGACTCAGTTTGACTCAGTTAAGAGGAGAGCTGTCTGTCTGGGGCGAAACGAAGCGACCGTTCGATGTTTACATCACTTCGATCTGGCTAACAAGCACTACTGGTTGTTGTGTGTGTGTGGTTTCCAGCTACTCTTAATGTCAATCAATTAGTAATGTACATATGCATATACATATATTTAGGATCATGTCGCAGGTTCGATCACATCACACCCTGCATGATGAAAAGGTGCATGGATGGATCGAACTCTAAGGCATTCAACGAATGAAACGCACAATGTAGAGATTTCAACACAAATGAATATTAACGCCTTCTCATCTAACTAGACTAGACTCGTCCACCTAAAACCGTCGAACTTCTAAAAAGTGAACAGTTGAAAGTACAATTCAATCCCTGGATTGGATTGGATTGGATTGAATTCACCAAAGGTATTCCACCATTCTGATAAATCAATATGCAAGGCATAATTTCATTCGTCATTTTCATAACACTAGAAGTGAACTCAAATTCAAGTGAACAAATTCAAACAAATGATTTCTAACTTTTTGAAAAAAAAAACAAATTATTTACTGAATTATTTATTTTGTATCAGTTAACAGTACACGTCTCTTTATATATATATTATCATGTATATATATGAAGTCAAATATCGATTTTTCACATCAGTAAATTGATGATATAAATAGTATACATTAAATAGTGACATAAATGAGAAAATTTGTAGCTCAGGTGGATGATATTGAATTAGTTGTGTTCTCTTAGGAGCTGGTTGATTTAATGTGAAAGCTTTCATCGTACTTCTAGATGAGTGATAACACTATTGATAACAAGAGATTATCAAAGACCACAAGAAAATTCATCCTACCATACATAGAGAATACCTCTGAAATAACAGCTAGAATATTGAGACCGTTTGAAAGAGATACAGCCAGATACAAGCCAGTCAACCAACCAGCCAGCGCAATCACTTCATTCGATATTGTGCAAATCAAAAGACCCAGCAGGAGAAGAGGATAAAATTAATACCATTTAGAAAATAAATTCCATGTATGAACTGCAATAAACATTACATCGTTCGTCAAAGTGGGTGTCCCCTTCGAATCTGAATCCAAGAATATAAATTGGCTGTAAAAACACATGATATACATTCTTTCGTATCAAAGCATGCGCATGATTGTGGACACTAATTTGATTGTGATAATGTGAAGAATTTGAATAGAGGAAACACCGCAAATGGCACCAGGGAATTTCTGGAGTCCTGGTACTCAAGTTAATCACCCAGAGAATAATAAACACAGCAATTACCATAGACCAAATTGACCGCTAGCTAATAAAAAGTAAATCAAATGACATGAAAGTTCGAATTTAAAGTCAATACAGGTGATCAGTGGAGATGTAGGTAGATTAACAATCAGTCACGACAGTGGTTGCCAGGAGACACAATTATATCGTCATTTATGGAGAATTCAATGAAGTTCATTTTATGCTGTAACCTGCGCTGAAGCGATGTCGTCTAGATGGGGGACTATGAAAGCTTGGCAGTCAAACCAACCACCTCCTCAGAGAACACAACTAATTCAATACATTAAATATTTTTATCTACAACTCGTATTAGATGGACATTAAATTTTATTACGAATAGACACTAGTTTTATCGACTTTGGAAACCACGTTTACACTGAACATGTCTTTTCCTTGTTCGAGACTCTTTTGCACCACATAACTGTCACAGCATCAGTGATTTTACGCTAAAGAGTTTCAGGTTACCAAAGAGCACACTACCTCTTTCAGCACCTATCTTTGGAATCCAGTGGTAGGAATTGTAATCTATGGTAATTCGTGATATTATCACACCAACGTTAGTAAACTCCATGGGTGGCTGGCTGGCAGGCAGTGGAATTCAGGATGTGCACTTCAGCCTGTTTGGAACTCGTCAGTTGGTTGAACTCGTAGTCCGTAGTAAGTGATACTGTTCATACTGAGACTTTAAACCAATGGAGATCGATCATATTGATCAATCAATAGGAAATACAAGATACTGTGTGTGCACACGTGGTAGTTTTTGTTCTCCAAGTAGCCTAGTGGGAACTGAATTACTCCATTCATTGAGATTGCAGTTACTCCCGGTTGATCAGTTCAAACAGAACGATCCTACTGCTAGTCATTACCAACCATTTGTCAGTTAGTATATTGGCTTCGTTTTATCATCTTGACATACAGCGTAAATACCTGACATGCGTTATTGAAAACTGTGCCACCGACGTACGCTTCATGACTTCTTGAATTATAATAACAATGTTAGACTTTGAAAATGTGTATTTTCTTCTTGAATACTGCCTCAACTATAAATATGTATGTATTGATCATTGATCACTTCCAGTGAGTGGAAATGATATTTCAATGAATTTATTATATCAAGTTCTACTGAACCTTTGTCAGTTCTGTTTTTTTTTTTTAAAAGTTTAAAATGAATCTTAAAACCTTTTGTCGTTTTAACTGATTGAAAATGCCCATTAAAAGTTTTTCAAAAAGAATGGTTACTGAACAAAGAATACTCTTTTCGATAACCCCTTCATCATCAGGTTCTACAGTTATATATACATAATAGTGAATGAATTAGTGTTATAAACAACATTAATGCTGTTTACATAACACCGATTCAATATTAATAATAATATCAATGGATTACAGTTCACCAGCGTCAACACAATACTACAAACTGAACATCAGAAAAATTAGGAAAATAATAATACAAATTCATGAATATATAGTCTTCACTGACTGCCAGCCAGGACAATATTAGTGGCTGGCTGAACTTGCTCCTTCTGCAGACAGAGCCCCGGTTGTTTAATATGAATCGCGATAGCCTCTGCTGCTTGGTGTATGCGGTACCTGGATATTTTTTGGTACCCGATAGATGATGACGAAGGATTGTTCAATGCTGCCTTTTGAGCGGTTTGAACGAGGTGTTCTAATATGGAGTTGTTGATGTTTCTAACAAAGCCTTTATTTAACCACATGCGTACATTTTGTTAACACTGTAGCGACAGAATACAAAACCAGGCAACAGATTGTTTATTCAGAAAATCAAGGGATATTTACAGATTTTTATGTATATTATTATTAGCGTTATTGTTAGCAGGGAAGCAACGTCTTCTGATTGGTTGTTTTCTTGCTGAAGGTTGGTGATAGAGAAGGATTCTTCAATGCTGGCTTTGTGGCCGGTTTAGACCATGTGGTCTGTTATGGAACTGCTTTTACTACACCTTTACTTAACCATACTGGAAGATGTTCTGGAGCACGAAAAATCAAGTTCCTATAACTCGCTCCACAAGCGCAGTTGAATTGGTGGATACAGTTGAAAGTAGCTAGCCTAGGTACTTCATCTTTCAATCGAGGAATCACCATCGGTCGTGTAGAAAATAAGACTTGTAGTTTACCAGCATTAAAAGTTCTTTGAACTGATTTTCGTAATTTCTTCGTAATTATCTCACTTGGTATATCGCCCTTGAATTGCAGTCGTATGTATAAGGGCTTCTTGTTTACGGATAGTGAGTAGTCCTTTTCCGCTTTTTTTTGTCATGTGTTTCTTGATAAATTTGTCTGGATAGCTATTTTCAATCAACGTAGCATATACAATGCTTAATTCATCTTCAATTAATTCTTCTGAGCATATAGCTGTAACCCTACGGCTAAAGGTCTTTACCAAATTTCTTTTGTACTGGAGAGGAACGAAGCTGTGAAAATGTGTACATTCTATTATTATCTTTCCTAATTCTCCTGACATTCAACGTGTATTGTTATGTTGGTGCTGTTCAGCTGTAATCTATGAATATTATTGATTCGATGTTATTCAAGCAGCGTTAATGTTGTTCATAACACTAATTCATTCACTCACTATAATGTATATATAACTGTAGAGCCTTATGATGAAGGGGTTATCGAAAAGAGTATTCTTTGTTCAGTATCCATTCTTTTGTCGTTTAATAAATATACCATTTTTTAATCTGTTGTGTTTCTTTAAAATTATTTCTTGCAGCTATTTTCCCATCTTCTGGACCTTTCTCATCTGGAGATCCATCTTCATGTGATAATAATAATTTAACTCGGTCTATTTACCCTGATCATCCGATACCAACACACACCACCGTGTCTTCCCCATTCACTAAACAATGCCAACCATCCTCGAAGTCATCATTACCGCCAAAATCAATTAATAACTCCGATCTTGTCAATAAAATCACTTCTGAAATCCAGTCAAGAAATTTGACCTCCATAAATCATTCTCATAGTCGGCGAATCGCTGAAGCGAATCATCTTCCTAAAGAAGGTAAATCTCCTAGTGTTCATCATCCGACTGTTGCATCCACCGATTTTCAAGAAGAATTACGTGATAGATTAAAACAACATTCTCAGCAGCTCAAAGATTGGTCTGCATCGAAACCAGGTGTCTCTAAAGCCGTGTCAAATAAGTCATCATCGGGTAATGGATCCGGTTCAGCAGTGTCTAATTCCTCACCTTATTTCACTATACCTCGTTTGAAAACTATCAATTCTGCAAATTCCGTTGGTGGCAAAGCAACATCAAATACCACAACAACTGCTGAGACTAGCAATGTAACCCCTTCAACGCCTGACAATAAGACAGAACCTTCACAACATCCTACAGGAGTGATTCAATCAGAGACAAGGGTTGAAAAATCCACTCCTCTTCCCAATAATAATACTACTACACCCATTCCTATAACCAATAGATCAGCTGTAAACAACACTAACGCTTCTCCAAAATTTCATGGGATGAAACGACTTGAAAATGAAAATTGTCATGATAAATTGTCAAGTTTAATACTACAAAAACGATTAAGTTGGACTGGTCCAACAGATGACAACTCCTCAGGCAGTCAAAAACGATCTCAACGATTATTATGTCTACCGACAATATTTTCCACATCATCTACAGCTTTAGATGAAGTCAGTGCATTCAGTGGCAATCATTGTATCCCACCGACTAAAGCTCATTTAAGAAAACATTTATCATATATTGTAGACAGATTAGAACATTTAATTAGTTGTAATGTTTTAAACTCAGATTGTAGTGGTATTATTGCCTCTCCGATGATGACGACAACAACCACCCCAGCTTCAACACTTTCATCATCCTCAGCATCATCTCTATCGAATTCAGAACATTTAATTGAATTAGCAGATCAGCTGGAAGCTTGTCGATCAAGTTGTTCCACGTATATTGATCAGGCGACATGTTCTGCTAGGGCGAAATTCAATTTCCGTGATCGATTCGCCTGCCTACAAACATTTAGCAGTTTATTACGTTCTAAAAAACTTGACATCACTTATAGTAACAATAATAATAATGATAGTAATAATAATAATGGTAATAATACTCCTTGTAAAAATAATAAAACTAACATCACTTTATTGCGGGATGTACAGAATGCTATCAGGGAGATAATTAATGATTTGAATAAACTGTCAGAGGACGCTGTGAATTGTAGTTTAACAAATTCACAGACAATTGATCCTCTTCTGTCAGGGCATAATAAGCTGAATTGTACAGAAAATCTCAGCATAACTGACAATAGTAACCATAACAACAACAAGAACAGCAATAGTAGTAGTACTGTTAGGAGTGCTACTGTATTCACTTGATCTTTCATTGGTTTTTTTTATTTTATTTGTTTATTGATTTGATTCTGGAATGAATCTCTTCCAACTGCTGTTTTGTAATATGAATAATAATAATAATGGCGATACTCATCTTCATGTATATGTACATAGGAAAAAAATCTTTACTGCATTTCTATCTATTTCACTATATTCATGGGATTATTGTCTGTTTGTCTGTTGGTTCGTTTATTTGACTTTTTTCTGATGATTTCATGTATTTTGATATACTCTACCCTCTTGGTTTTTACTCATTATGATTATTTAATTTGTTCTTTTTTTTTTCTCTTCTAAAAAGTAGTCATTTGTAATATTTTATTTTCTGCGGTTTTGATTTCGTTCAGTTGACAATTATTGTGCTGATTATTATTTGGCTTCCTTTGCGAACTCCCCACGCCGCCGTCGCCGCCCCCCTCTATTTCTTTGTTAACACTGCGACTATGACTACTGCTACTATTACCTTTATCTGTGGAATTTTTGGGCGTGTGTGTGTTTGTATGTTGGCGTGAATCACTTCATGTCTATACAGCGCGCTATGTGTGTGTGTAAAGTAGTACTTCATTGAGGCTATTCTTCTGTCTGTCTGTCTATACACAATCGTCGTTACTCTTCTGATTATTATTCACAGATGCTCGTTATGCTTTTTTATATATATGTAATATTTGATAATCTGTCTTTACAAATTGTCTGTATACACTTGTAAATAGAACAATCATTATTCCCTGTATAGAATAGGAGGCTAAAGGCTTTGGGATGCATTATATCCAATACACACCTTGATTGGTGACTTTTTATCGCTACTATTATTATTATTACTACCACGAATTTGCTTGTTATTACCCTCACTGTTCAAATGCTCCTGTGTTCCGTATTCTCGCCTTCTCACAGTCAGTCACTTTCTCCCTCTTCGTCTCTCGCTGATAATCTTTACTCGGGGTATACTCAATTAAATCATATACATACATAGGGATATTCTCTTTCTCTCTCGGTTCCCAGCTTATATGTACATATTTTTTCCCTTTTTTTAATGTTCCAACACAGTTTGTTTTGTATTCTGGGGTTGGGAGTGGCCTGGTGGTGGTTGGTTAGTGTTAGTACGCACAGATCGATAATAGATGCTCATATATATATTTTAAACTTTCAGGTAATAAGGGGGGTGAGGGAAGGTGAATAGTGTGCTTATCATCGATCCATCCGTCTCATCATCTGATCATGATCTCACCTTTATTTCTTTCTTTCTTTGCTAGAAAAAGAATTGGGGAGTGTTTGTGTGTGTATGTGGGAAGGGCTAGAGGGGGAAGATGGGTCTGTTTCACCTCACCACCTCCCTTACTATTTGATCTCTTTTAAGAAAAATGGTACTTGAATCTCTTGTTGTTTTGTTATTTTATTTTATTTTTTTTTGTATTTTCAATATTTTAACATTTTGCATATATTGCTATTTATTATTATTATTATTCCGTACATATACGCCTATCCAATCTGAGACACAGTGGCTCTATACTTCTTGTTTTATGCGCGCTGAACTGTGATTTGACATTGTATTCAAATTGACAGATATAATTAATAATGTTAGTATTATAAATATATTATGTAATATATCTATCTATTTATATTGCTTTGTCTTTATGTATATGTATTTATTGTTTTGCTTTCTTTCTTTTCTCTTCTTTTACTATAAGACAAGGAAGATGACGAAGAAGGCGGGCGAAGATTGTGTGTACTTTGTTCGCCTTGTTCGTTCCCCCCTCTTTTTTTCTTTTCTCATCTTCTGTTTTCACTCTTCTCTCAGTGTTGAAATTGTACTTTTTTGCTTTTTATTTTATTGCCGTTGTTCTTTCTTTTTTTTATTTGTTTCTCCCTTTTTTTCTTAGGAGTTTATCAATCTTTATATTTCTAAGATGATAATTTGTAATTGTTAATAATAATAATTATAATGATAATAATAATTATTATTATGTTTTATTGAAAATAGTGAATGTGTTGTCTGTGCGTGCGTCCGTCCGTCCGTCCGTCCGGGTTCCATTTCCTTTTTGACCAGTACCACGAGTGTTTGTACTCCTTAGACGTCACCTAATTTACTAGTTAATCTTCATTTTCGAGAGTTGATTTGTTTTTTTGAGTTTGACGACGGATTGATATTAAACACAAAATAATCGAGCAAAGAATATCCTTTTCGATAATTCCCTCTTCCGGCTCTACAATTATATATATATATATATATATATGTTTATATGCACAGAATATTCCAGATTAGTAGTTAATAACAACATTAGTTTTTTCTAAATAATATCGATTTGTTAAGTAAGATCACAATGGAATTACAGTTCATTAAAGATGCTTAAATTATTATAATAATAAAGATATAGTAGCAAATAGAATATCAACTAAAATTAGGAAAATTCCACAAAAATTCATGATCATTCAAACCTAGATGGCCAAGGTAATGATAATGTCTGAACTAACTTCTTTTGGGTGCATAAATTAGGCTTGTTAATATGGATCCCAACAGCCTCAGCAATATTTAGTAGTCGAACTCTTAAGGCAAAATTGAGATTCGTAGGTATGCGGTAAATGACCCTGAAAGCATGGTTAACGTCAATCTTGTGTTCTGTATCCACAAGATGAGATAGAATAGCTCTGTGAATAGATTTTGTTTGTCCTCTGCTTAACCACATAGGGTGATGTTCGGAAATTCGACGAGAAACACGCCTAATTGTACGGCCTATGAATAACTGGCTCACTCCACAGGAGCAGTTAAATTGGTAGATACACATGGAAGAGGCGAAATTAGGCAGTTTGTCTTTTACTCCCGAACGCAAAAGAGGAGTGGTTTTGAAGATACAGCGTAATTCGGCAGCAGGGAATGCTCTTTTTACCGCATTTCTAAGGCGCTGTGTTAGTATCTCACTGGTGCTGTCCCCAAGGAACTGCATTTGTAAGAATAAGGCCTTTTTGGAACTGTTGGTAACTTGGGCTGCTTTGGTTTTAGATTCATATTCTTATCAATAAACTTTTCAGGATAACCATTTTCACTTAGCAACTGTTTAATATTATTAAGTTCTTCATCAAGACATTCGTCCGAGCAAATCTCTCTTGCTCTGTGGACCAAGCACTTTATCAGATTGCGTTTGTATTTCAAGGGCACGAAGCTGAGAAAATGTGTATACTGACCCGTTGATGTAGGTTTTCTATATACACTTCTTCTTATTGTGCCATCCTCTTTTCTGGTCATGAGGACGTCTAAAAATGAAATACTAGAGTCTTTTTCTTTCTCAATAGTAAAATTTATTGCAGGATGAACTTCGTTAAATTTATCCAGGATGTTCTTTGCTTCCTTCTCATTTTTCATAATCAAAAATGTATCATCCATGTAACGACAATAGAATTCAAGTTCATTAATAACATCTTTCAAAGGCCCATTATTTTCTAGTTTCGCAAGGAAAATGTCGGCTAGAATGGGTCCTAGTGGTGACCCTATTGCCACACCGTCGATTTGTCTATATAGTTCCTTATTAAATAAAAAGTGGACATTCATTGTACATTTCAAGAGAAGCTCTTTCATAAAAGATATAGGAATGCCAACATCGATGTTTCGTCTTTTGAGTTCTTCGCATACAAAGTCCACTTATGGAAACAGTGGACTTCTATTTACTGTTATATTATTATTATAAATTAAGCATCTTTAATGAACTGTAATTCCATTGTGATCTTACTTAACAAATCGATATTATTTAAAAAACAAATATTGTTATTGACTACTAATCTAGAATATTCTATGTATATAAACATATGCATATAATTGTAGAGCCGGAAGAGGAATTTATCGAAAAGAATATTCTTTGCTCAATTATTTTGTGTTTTATAGATGTCTGAATGAATATTTTTGTTATATGGATTGATATCAGGTAGAGAACCATTGAAAACCAGCAGGGGGGTACTAGATAACCAGCTGTTTTGTCCTAGTGGTCAAACTCGAAAAAAAAAATGTAATCCTTACTCAACAACACTTAAAAATTAATCTAATCCTCGCTAGTGACTTGCTACAGGACGGAGTTTCTTGGAGTTCTAGTGAGAAGTCGTGACCAGTGACAGGTGCATCATCCTATGACATTGGTTGGTGCCAGTCGCGCTAAAAATCACGAATTGGTAGAAGTTAGAATTCATGGACTGGTCATTGGGGAGTTGGGTGGGTTTCAGTGGTGGCTGAATGGTCTACGAGCTTGTCTTGTAACTAGAAAGTCCTGGGTTCGAACCCCAGTGGGTGGATACTGCCGATGAGTGCCAAACTAGCTTGGCTACCCAGTATTCCCTTCTGGTTTTCAATGGTTCTGTAACTGATATCAATCCATGGTCAAACTCGAAAAAAAGAATTAAATCCTTACAAATGAACTCTTGAAAATCAATCTTAGACCTGAAAAAGAGGGAATGTTGGGTGTGAAACAAGCAACTCCATCCTGGAAAACAACACTGACACGACTGAACTTCAAAGCTTGGAACTTGAAGGTATAGGATCCACCACTCGAAATGAGAAAGAAAGAATAGTAAGTATCAGGCAGTACATTCACACATACGCACATATATATATATATATGTATATATGCATGCGTACATGCAGCACAGCAAGCTTATTAGTGTGCACGGAAACCGCCCACAATTTCTATTCCTAAATGACTTCTCTACTTGAGGCTGAAACGAAGTCAAATGTTAAATACCTTGGATTGCGTGTTTCCTCTGATCATCTTTCCTAGAAATTTCGTTAACGTCCTGCCTAAGGAAGTTAAGACAATCTGATATCACTTAGTCTCTACTTTTACAGTTTGTTAATTCATGTATCCTACATATATTCTTCTTTATTTGTCCCTCTCAATCTTCCTGGGCTAATAAAGAAAGACTTTGTTTGCACTAAGAAGGGCACTAAAAGCTGTCAGTAGAGCAAGTCGGTTGTCGCTAAACCAGCTCGTTAATACTACTGTGGATAGACACTTGGATTCCTGTAAGAAATTAGCAAATATTATCTTGTCAGAACATAACTAACAATAATAACAATTTGTTTTATTCCAAAACAGTACTTGTGATACAGAGTGGAATTCTCAGCATTTTACTACAATATTGCATCCAGTTTGTACATTAAGAATAAATAAAATTCTACATAGATTATGGGTAGTCTTAGTTAATTTTGACAACAACATATTAGCATATCGGTAGCAAAGCCAAAAGTGAACAGAATGTTTGAAGGTGTTAGAAAAGTAGATGCTAGCATATTTACTGGCGTAAGCGGTAACAAAATGGTCGAGATATACAGAGTGTGAAAGAACGAAGAAGAATGTTTTAAGTAGAGTTTGTAAGGAAGAGAGAAACAAAACAGCACAGCAAAAAGAGAGAGAGAAAAGGAAAAGAAAGAAAACGTTGTACCTATAAATGATATGAGTTGGAAAGACGAGATCCAATTGTTCTACTGACTATTTAATAAGTTATAAGTTTCACGCCTAATGCTTTCTTTATCGCACAGAACACGAGCTAAGTAGGGTATGGTTGAGTTTTTGTACTTGCTGGTGCGAGCATATAGTTTTCTATATAGGCTTCTAGTCCTGCATGATAAGATACGAGGGGAGAGTTGTGAATGAAGAGTGTGGTGTGAGTTAAATAGAATGGATTTAGTCCATTTTTCACATGATTCCAAGTGCCTGTCAACCAGAATATTAACAAGCTGGTTAAGTGGCACGTCGCTTACCCTGCTGACAACCTTTAACATCCTACGTAATAAGATTTAGTCCTTCTTCAGTAGCCCTGGAAAAACTAAGGG